TTTCAATAAACCTAACAGATTATAGGGTATATTATTAGGCATTTCTATTAATAATAATAATTTTCATTTTTATTATTATGATTATTATTATAACAACTTTATTAATAATAATGATAATATTTATAATGACTTCATTCAATGCGATATATTTAATACAACATTCTATTCTCAGCACTGAATGTTTCATCAAGTTTTCTTTACGAAACAATTAATGATTGGTAGTTGGAAGTTAGCGGTTCAGGAGTCAACATCATCTTAACGTTCATTCTTTTCTCAGCAGCCGACGCGATGTCTAGTATTGTAATTTTTTTGAGCAACTTGAGAAGCGACTGCTCATAAACTTTTATAAACTCGCCTGAATAGATTATGCGATCAATAGATATAATTGATATAATGAGGCAAACAGATGGAGACAACTTGTTGAAATGTTCTGATGTTAGGGAAGTGAAGTAAAGAACAGCATGTAGCAAAGGATGGCAGCAACACAAACAAAAAGTTGCGCGTATGTAAGTTTTTTTAGTACAGTTAAAAAAAGGAGTACAAAAAAGCAATTATTGGTACAATTTTCTACAATAATAAATGTTTCTTTTTCACCATTTGCGTTCTCTTCGTAGAAGCATGCCGCTGCAGCAAACCCCTTAGAATGGGTTTACACTTCGTTAGAGGGTGGCTGATCTTCCGACGTGCGATTGTAGGGAGGAAAGGTTGACAAACAGGAGGCGACCAATGAAGCTCGAGTTGTCATCAACAGTCCTTTACGAGCAACTGTAACAGCGCTAAGGTGACAGGCTTGCTGCTCGAGTTGGCGTGCCATACCAGCGTGTCTCGTATCCAGATTCTGAAGATTGCTTTTGCAGGTGTTCGGACCAGAAAAACGACGGAAACAGATTGAGCGCCGTAGCCAGAAATGACCAGAACGACCGAGTTCGGAACCATACGTATGCCAGATATATTAGGGACCAAAACATCTACTGAGTGCATTGACAAAAGCGTGGGTGATCAGGCCATCTTTCGCCAAGATTGAGTGAAGTCGACTTTACCAACCGGAAGATGGTCGTAGATGTGGGCTCAGGATAAAAAAATCAGAGAAAGAGAGTATGAAATCCTATGCCGTATCCGTTGTTGATTGGATGGTTAGTCACGAAAGCGTACAGGTAGACGTACGCGGTGAACGGAACGCAAGACTGTAGCCTCGTGCGTACCTTGAGGGACTGCAATCTCATTTGAAGGCAAGGGCGGCGTGGTCTGCTGATCTGGACGTGAGACCGGAGTCTCATCCGTAGATAGTGCAGATGACGCGTGCTGTTGACTGGAACGTGGGGATGAGATCTCTGATATACCTACCGTGTGATCCGAAGGAGAAATATGAATCCCGCTAGTGAGTTGGACGAGAGCAGCATTGAATCTCGGTTTATCGGGTAGGGCAGTGTCACTGACGTTTGCTGGTATGAGATGATCAATGCTAACTGTGTCCATCAACCTTGAGGGTCTTTTCGTAACGAAAGATCACGTGGAAAGATACTTCGTAAGGTTGTTGTAAAAGTTTGCGTACCTAATCTGTTCGTAAGAAAACATGAGGACAGATAAATAACTCTCTAAGGAGAGTGACCTGTCGATGTTATATTCAAGTTCACACTGGAGGCAGTGTTCGCATATACGCAGATAGTCGATGGGCGTTATTTGATATACATAAAATCGCTGCTCCGCGGCAGATGCAATGTCAGGCCGCATACAAGTTCAGAGGTGGAACATTGAATATCTGGCGTTACTGCACGAGATAAATAATCATACAAAAAGAAATACATTGGTTATTCGCTACATATCTGTTGGAACAATATAACCCCCGGATTTAATATTCGACGATCATGTCATTGTCTCGTTCAACTAATAGTCATAAACTAACTCAGTTTTATTCATACCGAACTCCGTTTATTTATGTGCATTTCAGTTTAAAACGGCTTTCATTTCGCATAATGGAATAATACACTAATTTGGTAGCCATCAACTTTACACCTAGAACATAAGAGAACAATATCTTTGTTTATGCATTAGTGTAATATCCTCACCAACTACATTCAGTTTCCCAATCAGTTCATTTGCATTTTTTCAAGTTCTCTGTTCATCATGCTTAACAGGCTAGTAGCTGTCATACTTCCCGTTTATCCCCATGCATCAAGGAATCATCTAAAGTTGATTGTATGGTAAAAAATTCGCTAGATGGTTCTCCTGAACGCTTATTATTGAATATTCCATCCTAGACAGCAGCAACTTGTGCAGTTTAGGCTCTTCTTATGTGGTCTCTGCTCCATTTATCCACCCATCCATGCCTTCTGGTCCACCAACGTCACCTGTTCCCAGCTGCTGCCCGCTCTTGCGACACCTAGTGCTGTCGTGCAAGACCTGGAAAATCTTGTTGGTGAGTCACGACAGACCAACCCTGTCCCTAAACTTTAGACCATGCTCTTGGACAGGGATTAAAAGATTTCTTCGCTTCCCACATAGTTTCCAATTTAAGTGATTCTATAGCATCACCACTAAATTCGACATTATCGAAATGTCCTGTGTTCGAATCCCCAGCACAACCCCCATGTTACCAACCCGGTTTCACATTTGACCCACAGCGATTATGTCCTGTTTTCCGTGTGTTTGATTGATAGCGAATCACAATCTCACAGTCTGTGATGTAAATTTATCTTACCAATTTTCAGTTGTCATCAGATAGTACCGTACATACAAATTGTTGCTAACAATTCGGTTCTTCTGAATTGCCTCCATTCATACGAATAATTTCACTCATCGTTTTCTTACTAGTGAATCGTCTTCATTAATCTACATAAGTTCAGGTGTACACTTGGTTTTCTAATTTTAAAAAGTTTCTGCTGGGTCATTGTTGGGTCTTAAACATGAATATTTTCTGTTCTGCTCCTCACCCCGTGCTCTTTAATCTTCTTTTTCAGCACCTTATTCCAATCGTTAAATATTAGTCTGGATATTCGCCGAAGACTTGGTTACTTTACCAAGGAACCTGTAAATTTATTATCTGGCGAATCTTTGCACATTTACCTAATAAATTCTTGTTGTATGCAGACCTGGATTTACCGTGAATTAGTGGTTCATTTGAAGAATATGAAGCAGATCTTATCACACTTACCTTCTCAATTCTTTTTATATGCAGACTTGGCTCTATCTTGAATTGATTCACATTCATCATCAGTTCGTTGCAACGCAAGTGTTTTAACTCGAGCCAATTATTCGCACTGCACATTTCAGAGTCTGGAAAATTATCTGTAATTTTGTGTGAAAAACTTTAGCCATCTCTATGAGGCCAATGTATCTTGTCAAATATTTCAGTAACCTAAAAATGTCTTACGAAAAATATGTTAGCAATCTTCACAGTTTGATCTTGCCTGTAAATTGGCATGCCTCTTATAACATGTTGTTATTTGAGAATAAATTATTACCATTATTCATTTAACTTTTTGTATTTTCGTAAAATAATTTGATGAATTGCGTTATTAGATAATTTTATCTCAACCACTGGCACTTGTTTACCCTTAAATAGGTATGCACAATTTAGTTGTATACGAGTCTTTCTGTAATGTAATTTTTTCTTAAATATGCTTATAATTTTGACTTGTTACCAGCTAGAAGGTGTGATTTAATAAAAATATCTTCAAAGTATTCTTGTTTAACGTAGATTATTTTCATACCTCTGCTACTTAAATGAAATAAAATTTATTATCAGAATGGATATCAGTAATTCTTTTATGTTTGAAAATTAGGTGCATCATTCTACTGGCGTTGGAGGATTTTAAGTTAAAACTTTAAAAATCGAGACCAAATCGCATTCGTCTGAAGTTCTCGTACTCTCACCAGAGTGTTAGTGACCAGAATTTCATAAAGAAACATGCAATATCAACTTATTCTGTTCATATATACAAAGATTAATAATGATTATAGGAGTTTCTGCTCTGATTTACAACGTGATATAAAAACTACTGAAAGGCTTTTGAGTGTGATGGACATATCACCGGGCATCTAAATTCTTTGGCGAGAATATGTTTCTGGTTTAATAGCCCATCTTTGTGAGACCTAAACATGAGTACTGCAGCCAAGTAAAAAACTAATACCTGACATAACATGCTGTCTCATCTTAGTGTGCCTAGCGAACGGAAACTAAGTTAGTGACAAGTATTTCGAAATTCCCTTACAATAAGGATTTGAAAGGAATTAGTGTTTTCATCTTATAATATTACATAACCGGAACGGATCTGTACCAATGGAGTGGTAAAATGTATCATTGTTTGGCTGCCCACCGAACTCATTACTTTCGAAAATACTGCAGAGTTTTAAAAGCCATGATCAAATTGTAAAAGAATTGTATTCAATTTTTCACAGTATTTGGTTAACGGTTGTAACGCATCAGCACCATCAGTGAACAGTTTCAAGGAAAAGCTGGATCTCCACTGGAAAACAATCTTCAAGGAACACCACGGTCAATCTACTATCCATACTGACTATAATGCCCAAAAGTTTTTTCATGTCGTTTGTCTGAACATTGATAGTTGGTACAATCAATTTAAGTCCTCACACTTACGAACAAAACTCTCAAACATCTTGATGCTTGATAATGAAATGGCATATCTGTTGGACCTACCAGACATATAGTGCTAGGGGATAGCTTTGTGTTATGGAACATATATATCTATGGAGTGCTTAACTATTGCTTTAACCGTAAAACAAGGCACAAAATATAGTTCAGATACACAAGACAGTCGCATTTTATGATAGAAAATCACAAATGGGATAGCTTAACATTCCTGCACAACGATCTCAGTGATGGAAGCTGAACCTACCGATCATTGCATAGACAGCTTAGTATAATAGTTGTCTTATAATCAGTGTAGACAGTTACTTTGTTAAATGATATTGTTTGAATCAGCAGAATGAACAACCACAATAGACTGTATAAATACAAAAACATGGAAAAAAAATGACGATATAATTTGTAAGAAAAACATATATATATATAATCACACTTTTTTAAAATTACAAACAAGTTAAGACGAAAATAAAACATATATTTAAAGAATTAAAGGAAACAGAATATGAAATGTATTGATGAAGGATATGATTTTAAGAATAAATATAAAATACACTAACACCAATAAAAAAAAATCCTATTAATTAAGTTTATATTTTTTCTTAGAACTACTACTGGTTGAATTCGTAATATCAGAAGTCGACTTTGACTGGACGCAATCATCGTTCATTTGACCAAATTCATTGACACGTGATTTATCTACAGGATAAAGCCTGAGGATGAAAAAACACAATGAATTTAGGATTTTAAAAAATTAGAGGCGGTTACATCTAGCAAAATGTGAATATTTTACCCAAAACAAAACTTACTAAACGACAGGGGAGAGGTATTACATTTTTCGTCTTGCTATTTTGTTTGTGCACAAATTTCAAAGTACTTACCAATTACTCTACTTATCTTGCATTTATTACTTAGTCACTAATCAATGAATTATATTATCTTGATATGTCTGCTTGATAGTTATCCACTGAATCTATAACACAATGACAAGTAGAACTTACGACAGTTACTTTGATACTAACGGACTGCTACTTCATGAACTATGTTATCTCGAATTCTAATCTTCTGAAGTCGTCATCACCTCTATCTTATTTCTTCCAAATTTATCTCCATTACTAGTAATACTTCTACTATATCTACCACTATGGGATTCGAACTGACAATTGCGTCTCTGTGCTCATGTCGTATGGTAACCTGAACTGATGTACTTACATACGAAGTTCTACGTTGTAACTGACTGACTTCAAGTACTGAACTGCTATTGAAGAAGGATGCGTTGAAATATGACAGCGAAACAGTACAAACATACTAATTAATTATTGAGTTAGCGAAGGATGTAATTCAAAAGCAATAAACAGTCACTTTTATTGACAAATTAGAACTCAATTTTTTAAATATTTTACTCCCACAATCACTACTCATACATAAATAATGAATTTGATGAGTAGCATTTTATATTTTTTTTAAAAATTTCATTTTTTAAAGAACCACTGAATTAAAAAAAAAACTCAAATATACAAAAACTGACATACCATCGTTGATATAAATAAATTAAAAATATTAAATCATCACGTAAACAAGCAATACGATGTGATGTTGGCATTACAATAATGAATGCGAAAAAGTCATCAATGAAAGTATTGAATGCCTGAAATGAGTAAAAAAAACCATTGAAAATAAGAATTGATAAATTCCTTTCTTTTTTTATAAAAGGTAATAGAAATTCATATTAATAATCATAATAACAATAATAATGAATTTGAATTAAAAGTAGATTTAATTAATCTCGTATTGGTATCAAATTAAAGAACCCGTGAAAATCAAAAAAATATTTAGATAATTATTTCATCGTAACCTCTATGTACTATTTACAGTAGTGTACATTTTTGATTTCACATGGTAAATGATGAGCGACAATGTTCTTAAAAGCTTATTGGAGTGATGATAAATATTGGAGAATGTCATGATTAAATTTTATTTATTGAATTGAACTTAGATTATGCTAGGATGTGAGTGATGTTATTTGGCTGTCGAAACTGAATGGAATTAATTGTACGTACGATAAAACAAAAAAATTGTATTGTTAGAGGAAATTTTAAAAAAGTAGAAATAAATAGTTTGTGATTTCATGGTAACTGATTCTTTGGCAGTTACTAATAATACTTACTTTGTAGGTCATTGCTTTCCATGGTAAATGTGCTACAGATTTTAATCGATAATTGAGGAAAAGTTGAGGTGTCATTAATAATAATCCAAAAGCATAAACACCTACAACAGAATGGAAACTTTTTACTAATGAAAAGATAAGAATGCAACATTTTCAGCAAAATACTGGAAATAAAAATAATGAGTGGAGAAAAGGAATACGGTAAAGAAGTACAACCTATAACATCAAGTAACTAACTAATCACAAAATGATTATTTTAAATCTGTAAAACAATGGATTTCAAGTGCACTGAATGAAAAAATACCATAAAGTGATGAAAAATGAGTCTAGTGGTTAAAACCAGACCTTTAGAATTCGGACGATTCACAACAACAAGTAATACTGACTTACAGCTTTTCAAGTGTTGATGTTGAATTTAGCGCAAAAAAAATAAGGCGATACTGATTACCTTTACTCTTGTTCCAAGCTATTCAACCACGCCCTATTTTATGCTAGAATGCTTACATAAAATGAAAAGTATTTATTCATGAAAACGACCTCATTTCGTCAACCCTGTATACGACCTCATGGACTACTACTACAGCCCGAATGCTAAAATGTACAGTTAAATTGCTTTACTATTTTCGATATTTCAACCTCTACATGCTGTACATTCAACAGTCAATGAATACCGATCAACACAGCCGCCAAAGGAGAGCAATCTAAAAAATACACCAACAATTTGATTTGTTTTTATTTTGTACCAATAAATGCACTGGATTATTTCAAACAGAATTAGTAGGTAATCTGATAATTTATTTATCACTTGAAAAAACAAAAACAAGCCATTTTTATAAATGATTTGTGTGTAATGTATAAAAACAATCATTTGAATGTATTTACTATTCATTGAATTTGAAAGATTGCATGTGGCAGAATGTTTTGCTTAGATTTCAAAACACGAATATAATAATATATCTCCATGATTAAAATCAATTGAAATCTTGTTCACATTAACCATAATTTTTATAATACTTTAATATTTTCATTATGGGGTCGTGAAGATTGTTAAGTTACACATTTTGGTCCAGTGTTCGAATACTGCGGAGTGCAGGAGTCGTAGATGCGCACTGCTGAAGAAACCCATACCAGGACGAAACGGCCGTCCAGTGCTTCCAGGTTTCTAATGGTGGTCTAACATTGATCGATTCATGGTTTCAAAAATGTGTAACTTTAATATTTGTGAAATTTCTTTCGATTCTATATTTTTGACAAAGAAATAGTGTGACAGATATGCGTTTTGTTTCCCTCATCAAAAGTATACTTTCTACCATCTCCGTCCCGACTGTAGCTATTACCTTCGCAATTCCTCTTCATGTATATCTTTCTCTTACTGAAGTTATCTCATGTAACTATACTTCTCGAATCATATCTTCGATCCCTAATCTTCTCCATTACCGCTAATTTTACCACTAAGTGATTTGGACTGACAGTGGCATCTCTGTGCTAATGCGCTTTGGCAATCGGAACTGATATACTCAAGTACGTACGAAGTTCTACGTTTTAACTGACTGACTGACTGACTACCATCTCCGTACAAATGTAATCGCTGTCAAAGAGTAACAATTTCAAAATTAGAAATATTCACAAGTTGACAGTGTAGAAAATATGATAGCATTATTTATGATAACATCAGAATCAAACAAATCATTGCAAACATTCAAATGAATTTTTATTAATTCATCACTAATAATAATAATAATAATTTAAAAAGAATACTTATTAAAACAAAGTATAACAGTCACAAAACTAGTTTTTTTTTTAAAAAAAATTCGATTTAATGAATAAAATGTAACTTACCATTTGCCATAGTCTCTAAGCACCAAGAATACCAGCTGAAAAGAAAAATTCATGTTAAAAGTATAAATGAATATCAAAGTCAACATTCGTAGAAATAAACTATGAGCAAGATTCTACAAACAATATTTATAGACAATCAGATTAAATGAAGCGAATGGATAGGTATGATGAAAATACAATTGATAATATTTAATGAGAATATATGAACAAAAAGATTCCATAGTAATTACTTACCTACGATGTGGTATATAAAATAAGGAATATATTGAACCACCAATACAAAGAGGAATCATGACAAGCATTAACCAATGCATAAATTGTGCATCTAATTGATCAGTTGCTTCTTCTTCTTTCGATCGTTTACCCCATTGAAAACCATGATGAAAACTAATAGAAAATTTGGTCATTCGACCTAACTTCCATAATTCAATCAAAGTAGATATTCCCATTGGAATAGAAACTAACAGACTACTTTTCTCTTCCCATAAATGTAGAAATATAATGAAAGAACTGATAAATCTCCAAACAACTTCATTTTATCATGCATAAAAAAAAAAAAGAACAAGGGGGAATATAGATAAATTATGAACTAAATAGTAAGTAAAACAACTGAAGTTGTATGAAAAGAAAAGAGACTGTTACATTTTCATAATAAATCCAATAGTGGTTAGTTGAATAACATAACATAATCGCTAATTATTAAGTAGTATTTCTGAACACCACCATAGTGAATTGAAATTCGGTTGGGTTCTCAGAAAAGTTTGTTTCGAAGCGAAGTACTTAAACATGTAACTTGTAAATAATGCGTCCCGTTAATCCTTTATGGAATGGTCAGAACGAATTATAGAAATATGCATTATACAACAAACGTCTTTGCGACAGATGATGCACTTAGAAATTAATCTAGACAATGAGTATACATTCTGACTATTTACAATCTGTTTAACTAACTCAGAAAAAATAAAACAAAAGATATAAAATGCTGAATACAATTCAGTAACCAATAACAAGTTAGCCGTGTATACTAATATCTTTTCTACCAGAAACTACTGTGGTATGTTATCCAATGTTGCAGATACTGATAAAATCAGAAAATATGATGCAGTTTAAATTATAATTAAACTACATAGAGTAATATAAAAAAAAACTAGGAAGTCGAAAATTAAGACTAGTATATTAATTGTCGAATTGTTTTAAGGGCAATAAAAATTTCCTCCGAATTTTTCATAATACTTAAAAAATCAACACAAAACTCTAATAAACTGGATGAAAATGAAGTATGAATTTGATCACTAACCCGTTCGTAAAGAAATTCCAACTGTATTATTTGATCGACGCCAAAATGAAATATCATTTTTAAAAGCCAGAAAACTGAACAATAACTAAAACAATTAAAACGATAAAAAAAAGAACAAAAACTACATTTAGAGCAAAATTTAGTGCATCATTCAAGATACGATAGAGTGAAATAAATTGTAACATTAAGCAAACAGTGAAGTAATCTATCATTTACTAGAAGCTTTCAATGACTGTTGATTCCATTATTAATTACAAAGACAAGTGACATTGAAACTTCATAGCATTTCTAAATAATACTGAACAGAGAGAGATTAAGGTTAAAACTGTAGCATTCAGCATTTAAGTAATGTCAGAAATGGGGAGAAAACTAAACAAGAATTAATAGGGTTTATAGATTTATACTACTTCTACACAAATAAGTAAGTAAGTAACTATGAAAATAAAAAGTTTTTGGATAAACACAAATCTAGGTTTCCACACTCGACAGCACAAGATGAAAACTAACGAAAAAACAAATCAAATAAGTAAGTAGGATATGAGTCTAGAAGCGAAAATAAAAGATGGATAAGCTGTTCATAGCTGGACCTTCAGTGATAAATTTCTACCAACTTAAGTATCAACTCCACTGATAATATCCTTCATTCGGTGATGTTACAAGTTATTATCATTTTTTGGTTTAACCAGTCAAAAAGTCAGATTCAGAAAGCATATTTATGATAACGAAGAAGAATGAGGAAAACATACAGCCCTGATGAATACCATTCAATGTAGACAAGTAATATTACGGTTAGTCAATAGCTGTGACTCTACTATGAGTATTCTTGTCAACATGTTGATGCACCTTTATTTTATTGAAACATAAGTATTGATACGAAGCGAAACAAGTATGTATGTACACCATTTAATAAAAATGAGATTCTAAAGGGCAAGAACGTAAAGTCAGTATACTATGAAAGAATAATAATGAATTAGTTAATAAACATACAACAAGGAGATTCTTCCAGTTAAAGAATTCTCTCTCACTTATCTGAAGAAATACAGGGAAAGTAATAGCATGACCTTCACATTATTTTATTCTGAGTCGCGTCTGACATTTCAAGCCACTGTGTTGCAATATCTCTATGTCACTTGAGTTGTGAAGGCTCAACAGACGCCAGCCTTGTAGAGCTTCCTTTTAGCCATGATACTAAATAGTATACTGACCACCGCTCCGCTTTTCCAACTAGTCCAATTAGCAGTCAAACGCCACGACAACGCTTCGCTTATATCAATACATACCGACAATTATGAACATACATTCGATTGGGACAATATGGAAATACTGGATAGGGGGAGGACAAAGAACACTAGAGAATTTTTAGAAGCTTGGCATTCAGGTCAATCAGCAATCAACAAACACATCGACATTGACCCGACTTATCAACCAATCAGGAAAATCATACATGACACAGGATCAAGAAACAGATCAAAAGGGGGATGGAATCAAAACAAAGTTGCGAACAACGACGGGTCAAAGGTCAACAGCAACCAATCAAGATCGAGGTTAGCAGAACAAGCTACAGGTCAAACGTGGAGAAATTCGAATGCTTCACTTCTATCGGAAGTATGTGCTGATGATGTTGTTCAGAAGAACAATGAAAGCTCCACAACCAAAACAACCAGCTCAGAGAACGAAACACCACCACAATCATCCACCTGAGCTACAAGTCTTCTCCACCATCTCAACACAAAGAGTGGATGCACCTGCGCCATTGCAAACGATTCTGAGCCATGTCGTTCAAGGTCTCTAACCATCGGTGACTATCGTCTCGCGGACCCCAACCAGGTAGCCTACATCTACCAACATGACTCAGTCCACTTGTCAGTGACTTCATGCATTTCTGACATGTTTTGGTTTGGTCGCACCTAGATTTCTTCCAATATACTCTTACACCTCAAAACATAGCTCGTCGAGGCAGTCGGTGGTTAGTCATACGTAACACATGTCCCAACAACCTCATCTGATGAAGTTCACTACTCCATCTACTGATTTGCCGTCCCTACCAAGAACTCGTTTCCTATCGACAGCATTGCTTAAACGGTTGTCCCAGGATACACGAGCAATGCTTCGGAGACATCGATGATCGAAGACTAGTAACCTACGGAAGTCCTCTACTCTTAACGGCCAAGTCTCGCATCCGTACAGTAGGACGGAGCGAAATGCCGCACGGTACACTTGTCCTTTGGTTAGAAAGCGGATATCTCGCCTGCGCCATAGGTGACGCAAGTTGGCAAAAGCCAATCGAGCCTTCTGTATCCGAGTTGAGATTTCGTCAGTCACCAGGACATCAGCACTGATGAGACTCCCAAGATAAGTGAAGCGGTCTACACGTTCGACTACTTCACTCCCTATCACTAGTTCAGGTGCCGATGAAACCCAGTCTTGAAGCAACATTTTGCATTTCGACGGGGAAAACCGCATCCCGAACATGCTTGCATTGTTGCTAAGGGTGGTCAGAAGACTATGCATTTTGTCAACGTCTGCACCAAGTAGGACTATGTCATCGGCATATTCTAAGTCAATAAGCGAGCCACCTGGTAAAAGGCCTACTCCTTAAAATTCAGACAAGGACAGGGTTATTTCTAGGTGCATGTCTATGATAAAATTAAACAAGAATGGAGAGAGCGGACATCCCTGACAGATACCACTTGAAGTAAAGAATTCCGGTGACAGTTCGCCATAAGCTCTCACTCAACCAGTGGTGTTCGAGTAGAGAGCTTGTATAAGGTTAATGTACTTCTTTGATACACCTTTCCCCAGGATACACGAGCGATGCTTCGAAGATACTTGTGAGCGAATACTAGTAACCTACGAATAACCTCTACTCTTAATATCCATGTTTTACACCGTTTTAGTAGGATAGAGAGAACTGATGCTCAGTAGACTCGTCGTTTGATTAATAGACGGATATCTCGCCTATGCTTTAAGTGACGCAAGTTAGCGAAAGCCAGTTGAGCCCTGTGCCAGAGATGAGATTTTGTCAGTCACCAGGCTATCGGCACTGATGAGAATCTCAAGACAAGTGAAGTAGTCAAAGGATACAACTATTAACAGATGCCGAAATGTGTGTCTGTGTTCTAGGTCCTATCAAAGTGTGAATACATCGTCTATGCGTCCAGCCCTTCACGAGCTCCAGTAAGGTGTCAAAGTATTACTGAGGCTAATATTTTGGAATCTGATTGTCACAAGAGGACTTTTATCCTCTCTTATAAATTGGGACAATCAGAAATTGAGACCATTCAAATGGAATTACACCCAGTTCCCAGATTTCACCTAAGATCTCAGTTAATCTAACTGCTAAAACTGGACCACCATCCTTAAATACCTCAGGAGTTAGCCTATCAGGGCCCGCTGCTCGTCCTTGCTTTAGATTTGCTACAGCTTTCTCAGCTTCATAAAAAGTCGGAGGACTTATGTCGATTCGCCATTCAGGTTGACAGGAGATCGTGGGTAACTGAATTATGGCTAAAGGACAGTTGAACTGATCTTTGAAGTATTCTGTCCATTGACCCAATCTCCTAGACTGACTATGAATAACAACCCCATCTTTTTCTGAAATAGTCTGGCCAACAGTCAAATTCCTAATACTGGTTTCCCTGATAAGTCTGAGTAGTTGTCTACTGTTAACTATCGCCGCTGCCTTTCCCATTTCCCTTGTTTTAACCACACATCATTGCTCACGATCATTGCTTATGCTTTTTACCAGCTTTCTTTTACGTTGCCTTCGCTCTTAAAAATGTTCAGAGCCAGATAGGATGAGTTTCTGAGCATCTATCAATCTTGTAGATGCTACTGAAATCCACTACTTCTCTCTAACCTTTTGGTTTACTTTACTGGCAGAAATCACTGCTGTCTCCACAGCTTTTTGAATATTATTCTAAGCTGCTTCGGGATAGGCATCACTTACACGGCTGCCTGACTGTTTTCCTAGTTGCTCCTGAAATATAGTCTCGGCTTTTCTATCGTTAAGCAGAACTATATGAGTTTTTCCTTGCAGTGTCTTCCTTACGTCTAGTAAGACGCAGATGAATACGTGTTCGTACTAGAGAATGGTCAGAATCCAAACACGTGCTCCAGATTAGCGGCAGTCTTCTATCGAGCCTCTCCATAGGTTGCTGATAGCAATGCGCTGAGTCGATTTTAGGGGTCGCTATGTGAAAAGATATTTTTCCCTATACTTAAAGTTGGTATTTGTCAGAAATGGACGGTTATCTGAGCATATCCGCAGCAAACAGTCTTCATTCCCTATTCGCTGATCTGTGACAATATAAGATCCACCCAAGTGTCTTTCAGTTTCGCTTAGTCTACCTAGTTGGACATTTCAGTCATCAGCCACTATTACTACATCGGATCGCTTAGTTTTTTAAAGAACGTTAGATAGTTTTCTACAAAATTCATCTTTTACCTCAGTTGAGTTGCAATCAGTCGGAGCATAAGCACAGACGACGAACAGGTAATAGCGAGTGTCCCTATCTTTCCGAGTCCATGCTGTCCCGTTTAATCGGACAGCATAGAGGAGACTATTCACTGAGATCCAATCTAAGAGATCTAGTTCTGCCGAAGGACTCAATGATATATCCGCACCAGCGAGGTCATGAGTAGCGGTAGTGGGGCTTACAATTAGATGAAGCGAAAATCGACACGGTTTTTTATTTTGACTGATGAATTATATTACGTGGATCTTGTATGCGAGTTTCGGTGACGTAACATACATTGATGGCACGGAATTCTAAAGCTTGTTGTCCTATTTGGCATTCAAAGCTCCAACATGTAGTTTAGGACCGGGTTTTAGGACACCAGTAATAACATTTCGTGTACTTAAATGCTTAGCATTAGTGGTGGAGGTGATAAAGGAATGAAAGATGGGTTGTTCGTGGAAATAAGAAGGTTAATAAAATGTGTAGGAAGGAAATGATTGTGATCAATTTGGTCTCGTTTGCTGTAAGGGGTATGAGCCAGTCAGTCAGTTACAAATTAGAACGTACATGAGTTCACGTTGCCATACCATATTAGCACAAAACTGCAATTGTCACTTCAAATCCCATAGTAGTAGAGATAGTAGAAGTATTAGCAGTAATCTGATATTTTAGGGTTCAAGAAGTAGAATCTAGTGAAATAAACTTAGATAGAACAAAATAAAGTGATGAGGAATTCAGAATATTATGATTTGAGAGAAGACAAGGAATGGATGCACCTGCGCCAATGCAAACGATTTTCAGCCATGTCATTCAGGGTCTTTAACCGTCGATTACTATCATCTCGCGGGCCCCGACCAGATAGTCAACACCCACCAACATGACTCAACCCAGTTTCCGGTGAATTCATGGATTTCTGCCATGTTTTAGTCTGGTTGCCCCTAGCTTTCTTCCAACTTATTCCTACACTACAAAACATAGATCGACGAGGCAGTCGGTGGTTAGGCATACGCAACCACCTCAACTGATGAAGTTTCATTACTTCATCTACTGATCTGTCATCCTTACCTGGTACTCGTTTCCTAACAACAGGATTGCTTACTCGGTTGTCCCAGGATACACGAGCAATACTTAGGAGAAAACTATGATCAAAAACCAGTAATATCTCCTACTCTTACTGGCCATGTTTCACAGCCATAAAGTGGGACGAGCTAACTGTTGCGCCGTACACTCGTCCTTTGGTTAGCAGACCGATATTTCGCCTACGCCATAAGTGGCACAACTTGGAAAAAGCCAGTCATCGGGCCTTCTGATCCGTGCTGAGACTTCGCCAGTCACTAGGCCATCAGCACTGATGAGACTCCCAAGATAAATGAAGCGGTCAATACGCTCAGCCACTTCACTTCCTATTGTGGTGGCTTGGTAATTAGCTCGTCTAGACAATCGTTACAAAGTAGCGTCTGATGGTTATATATCAGAAGGTGAACTCATATTGATGAGTACGTTTATTTTTGGACACACCACAAAGCGAAGTGGAGAAGCAGTGAATACAACGAATGAAGTGACGTGAATTGGAGAAGGCTGTTGAGCCAAATCCAAGAGATAGAGCATGACTAAGAATATATAGTCAGACAAAAAATAAGACAGACATGTGACAAGCGAAATAGGCATGCACACATGAATAAAAGCGACGAATGATTGACAAGGTCAAAAGCGAGAGAGACAAGTCATGTGAACTTATGCAAACCAGACAAAGAGTAAGAGTGAAAGGTACATATAAGTTGTCGCTACGCTAACGGCTTGGTTAAATAAATTAATCGAAAGTGCTTAACCAAATTAAATGTAAGCGAACTGGAATATATGTGGAGGCACTACACTATCACTATAAATAGGAATGTAGTGAAATCTAATGGAGTCTAACAGACAATAACTATAATGAGCTGGAAGTGAACAAACTAGCGGAACAATTCCTCTACACGATAAAAATCAATCACACACTAACAAATAATTATTGATTTTAAGAAACGCCTATAAATTGTTTGAATCAATAGATGGGAGATGCCAAGAGCAACTGAAGTCACTTGCACTCTTACACTTAAATATATCACCTAGATCTAAATTCTTTAAAAAGACTTGGTGCAAATCTTGTAAAGAGATAATATCTCTACAGAGGTGTGGGAATAAAGAAACCACACTTTAGACTATAGTTTTCATCAGTGTTTAACAATATATAGTGTGCAATTTTAGGATTTCGCTTCCAAGACGCTACCAGAAAGACAAATTTATACGAAACGAACTTACATGGAAAATAGAAATGAATAGTGTGGTCAGCAATAGGTATAAATTGGTGTCCAAAAAAATACCACGTATCTCGTCAATATCCTTTGATTTTATACCTATAAAAATGAAAAAGTATTAGTTACTCTGATTGGCATTATTCGAGATGTTGAAAGTTTCATAGTGGTTACTATGAATACAATTGAAAACTGTTTACATACATAGCTCAACAGGAAATTAGCAACATATACAAAACAACAATGTCAATTGAATTTAGATGCAATACAACACTGTTGATCTTATGATTAGGTCAACGTAAACTTGATTAGTTATCCTTCAACTAAGGGATGTAAAAATTCGCACATCAGAAAGGTTATTTAATAGTATGGTAGTGTCAACAATACATTAACTAAACATAAGAATTACCAAGAAACATCAAAACAGCATTTCATTAACACAACACAGATGCAAACTGTACCTAGATATTCAAGTTTTTATAACATTAACTTAGAAAATATACAAATTCTATTTCACGGTCTAGTACATATCGAGGCAATCCGCACATGATGTACATATGCCAATCAATTGCAGTCCTAAACATCAATGGAAAAATTCAAATAACCAATACAAATAAAACAGTACGTAGTTGTTTTCACAATCTTTTGTCACCAGTTTATTGTATGCTGGTTCATCCTTTTGTTTCTTTTATACGTGTTGTCACAGAATCTTTGCAACGGACCATTTTATTTTCAATTTATTTATTCAAGAACCAATAAATTCTTTTATCTTCAGATGAGAGGAACCAATGAGTTATTAAAAGCTTCCACACAGGCCTAGAAAGGTCTACAACAAAACTGTGGACATTTGGAGAAGTGAATGGCTGAAGCCTTCTCGTTTTGTTCATTTTTAGATCCGGTTGTCTATAAAATAACTTTTTATTTACGTAGAATAACCACAATTAAACTGTCTAATTCTGTTGCAGCTATGATTAGAGAGAAACTAACACTGGCAACTAACAGGTCCCTGAAGCGAAACAATAACTGTCTTATAAAGTTAGAGGTCTGTTGATTGTCTTAGTTTCCCTATAAACATATTAACTCAAATGGAACAGGCGATATTGTTGCCTTGCATTTGGATAAACTAGTCGGAACGCTAATGGGACTGAATGTTTGTAATCACTTATGGTAACTGATGAACTGAAAGACAGACGTAGTTCGTTCGATTTGCTAAAGGTGTATATAAACGAATTCATACTTTTGTCGTTCATTAAAATCTAAACTGATGGAATAATCATATAGAATTTTATAAAAAGAAGTGTGAAGATTTGAGTGAACAAAGGTGGTCTCGAGTTTTTCATTGGAGATACTAGTGAAAACACCTCACCAAAGATTCTAGATTCTGAAATGTTCGGTCCTCTGTTCTGCTGACGAATTTTCGACTTATACCTTGTCTTTACCTAGAACATAATTGGTTGGTTTATAATAAATTTACATTTTGTAGGACAGAGAGATCTTTATTTGCCCGTACTCTTCCGAATCTTTCCTGAAATTGTGGCCGTTTACTTCCAAAACGCCCTTGTTACTTTTTATAATATCTAATTCCACTACGACAACGTATGAAAAAAATGATGTGGAATTTATCGCGGTTCCTTTGCATATCTATTGCATAGCTCCAAACGTCTTTATAGATGTGCGACTTATTGATGTTCGCTCTCAATTCATTATATTCATTCAAATAGTATATTAGTGGTATTAGTTCATCAAATTATTAAATCCGCCATTTACAGCTCGTCTTTTTTGATACGCGCAATTTTGTATCCGTTTTTACTAGTTGCTTAAACCAAGTAATTTGTTATATATATTTGGTCTCCAGTGGCTGACTGAGAACTATGCCGATATCGGTGATGATACAAGTTATAATCCATTTAACTACATTAAATTAGTTATTATCAACCTTGTAATTTTAACCTAAATGACACTAATAATAAAGAGCTTTTAAATTCTTTCTGGTTAGTCTATTGTCATCGTGGGAAAAACAAGCTTAAGTAGATTTTTCATACTGTTCTTACGTAAAATTTAACCCTTAATTATTTGAATTTAGCTTTCTCAGGCAAAATTAAATGAGATACCACTATGAATCTATTTGGATATCAAATATTGTTTTTCTTTTGTGACACGGGATGAAGATTATCCAGTGAATGTTGATTGGTGTTTTAAACATATCAAAAGTACAGACAACAAATGCTTCGCTGCTGTTTGAACTAGTTAGTCAAAGTTCCCTTTGAATTAGGCAAGACTGTACGGAGATTGAATCAAATTTTGAAGTTTCATTAGGCTACTAGCCTAAATTTTGCGTCGTGTCAGATCCAGTCCTCACGATAGATTTATCAGTGCCATTTGTGACTGATAGATTGAAATTAACAGACGAATGGATAAAATACGATTGAAATGCCTTTTGTCAAACTCACTTAAGGTGGAAAGAGACTGCATGAACAAATAGGAGTTAGCTAAGGTGTATGCTTCTACTGGTCTGACGTCAGTGAGGTTCGTGTTATATACAAATTATACTGGGAATTTAGAAGAAACATTTAAAATGCAAGCTGACATCATCTCTGAAGACGATTGAACAAAAGCAATAAACCCTAATTTTTCGAAACACTAATCTAATTAGTGAAAGTTATATTTGAAACAATCTCGACGATTGAAATTTAGATAATTTCAATGTTTTGTTCAGCAATCTTGTCTAGACTAATTTAAAGTGATAATAAACAAAATCAAAATCATCAAAGAATACAAAACGTTTAACAATCAAAACAAGTTTGTACCCTTTGTTTATCCACCAATATTCAGATGTTGACATTTGTGAGTAGGATAACATGAGTCAAGTGATATGAATAACATGACAAGTTCACAATGTGAAGAATAAACGAACGTGTGCATGTGCATGTACAGCTTTCTGTCATTAATAGTTGATATCAGCTGAATGTCAAGCATTTCTTGATTAAACGTAAACATGCAACAAACATAAACATCCAATTGTAAGTGTCTTTAAAAAGGTCGATGGTATGTAAATTGAGGATTCCAAATTACACAGTTGTGGCATTAAAATACTTAAATTTACTACTTTTTGGTCAACATTATGTGAACTCGACAAGGTGGATAGATATACGGTCCGACTACTTGTAAATGGTCACTCGCCATAGAGTGGTTAGTTGAATACCATCTTCCTATGTAAGTTGCCCTGATAAGCTCAGATATCATGCTTCTGTTGTCAACTTTTCTTCATTTGGATTCTGAAGTAATCCCTGAAGAAGCTCAGATAGGACTGATGGACAAAACGTTGGAATAATCTGTTTTATTTGCTGAGACTATTTCGAACATCGTTTTCACAAACAGTGTATTTTGGATCCTCGGCGCCTAAATTTTGTCAAACTTCATCTGAGCATTAACGGATATTCGTATAAACTGATTTAATTTTTTTTTGTCTTTAAAACCGAGTTTATTCGAACAAGAACTAAAAAAACGACAAAAATCAATTAGGAAGTATTGCACGTAGAATACTTAATAAAGGAGTGTGAAACAACTTACCATAAGAGTGTAATCGATCAGCTACTGATTCTAACACACACCGCAAACGCATATGGCCCACCGAAAGTGGTTCGACGGATAAGACTATTTCTAGTTGACGATTTTCATTTACTTGCTTGATTTCAGACCAATCACTTGAAGCTTGGAAATTTGGGTTAACGTATACTACCGGCAAATATCCCTTTGAACTAAGCTGGATACGACCAACTATTTCAGCAGGCACATTATAGCGGTTGAAAGATACTGGAGTCTGGAGCACATATACACGTAATGTTGATAACCAAAATGGTGAAAGCAACCCACGATCATTCTTTGGATTGTTTGATGATTCCTGTGGAAATATTTGTACAACATATACAAATTCCAAGTATTGCATTTAAAAAGCAAGAACATTACATCATAAAATAAGGGATGGAAGGGATACTTAGCACTGCTAATAAGTGAAATTAAATAACATAACTTAGATGTTTGTAGGATTTGCATATCCCTCAGTAAACCTCTGAAGCAAACACTAATCTGCCATTTGATTGTTAACTGGATACGAGCTAAAGGTTTACACATACCAGATCGAATCAATAATTAATCAAATTGAGGAACTCACATTACTGGTCATGAGGTTGAAAGTTGTCCTGGTAGCCTCCTTGTGGGTCAAAAGGTTTAAATCGTTGCTCGAAATGAGTGAACCGGTACTTGTCAGCAAGCGTAAGCGAGCAGTTACAATAGAATCGCTGGTTGGAGGTACAGTGAGAGTGCAATTATATTTCCTTAAAAAGTGATGCTGACTGTTTAAGAATGATTACTTTACTAGTCCACGATCAATTTTGAAGATTTCATTTGTTGGAGGATCTCCAACAAAACCCCCTCCTCTGATAAATTGTAAATGTATCTTCCAAGAAAATCTACATTTTTATGAAGAATACCTTGAGTTCATCATCTGGCTTCCATCCAGGTGTTATGCATCCTGAAGACCCTTTACAATTTGATGGGAAGAATACTTCAAACAACGACCACGAAACAAAGCAAAAGTAGCCGAGAGAGACGGCCAACAGGACATTAGTCAGCCTGAACATGTGCAAATATGCGCTATACCTTGAAGTGACCTTGTAATCGCAACAACTAGGAGCATACTAACAAATTAAATATCATTTTCATGAACTAGTATAGATTATTTGATTTCTCTGCGTTGCGTCTTACTCAATTATAAGTTTACAGGTATTCGGTAATGTCCAATGGATGCTAGTCATGCCAATCGGTTGCACTAATTCTAGTCACTCAGCAGATATTTATAAATTTTTATGTCCCGTGATAGGAATGAGAACATCTGTCTCAGTTCAGTTGGATTTCTGGATACCAGCAGCTATCATGTTACCATATCGAAGATCAGATAATTGCAATGTGGAGAATAATAAGGAGGAAATTTCAATGATACAGGAAGATTTTAGAAGTAAATAATGAAATAAGCTAGTTAATTGATAGTGAAGATATGTGGGAAGAACAACTTACTTACTCACTTACGCCTGTTACCCCCAATCGGGCATAGGCAGCCCACCAGTTTTCTCCAACCAACTCTATCCTGAGCTTCCCTCTCCAGTTCTGTCCAATGTTTGTTCATTCCTCTCATATCTTTCTCTATTTCTCGACGTAATGTGTTCCTTGGCCTTCCTCTTTTCCTTTTGCCTTGAGGGTTCCATGTGAGGGCTTGTCTCGTGATGCAGTTAGGTGCTTTTCGTAGTGTGTGTCCTATCCACTTCCACCACTTCTTCCTGATTTCCTCCTACACTGGAATCTGGTTTGTTCTCTCCCATAGTAGGTTGTTGCTCATGGTGTCTAGCCAACGAATCCGAAGTATTTTGCGTGGACAGCTGTTAATAAACACTTCTATCTTCTGGATGATGGCTTTGGTAGTTCTCCAAGTTTCCGCTCCATATAGTAGAACTGTCTTGACATTTGTATTGAAATTCCTGATTTTGGTTTTGGTTGAAAGTTGTTTGGAGTTCCAGATATTTTTCAGCTGTAGAAATGCAGCCCTTGCATTGCCAATCCGCGCCCTCACATCTGCATCCGATCCACCTTTCTCGTCGATGATGCTGCTCAGATATGTAAAGGTGTTAACGTCCTCCAAGGCATCTCCATCAAGAGTGATTTGGTTGGTTCATGTTGTTTTGCATCGGAAAATTTCGCTTTTTCCTTTATGTATGTTGAGACCTGCTGCTGCAGAGGATGCTGCTACACTGGTCGTCTTCCCTTGCATTTGTTGTTGCGTGTGCGATAGAAGAGCTAGGTCATCTGCGAAGTCCAGATCGGTGAGCTGCGTCCTAACTGTCCAGTTGGTACCGTGCCTCCCTCCAGATGTCGACGTCTTAATAATTCAGTCGATCACCAGGAGAAAGAGAAAGGGTGAGAGTAAGCAACCTTGTCTGACACCAGTCTTCACCTCGGGTGTCTATGAAGACCTTCATTCTGTTTAACAATACTCTGTTGAAGACTTTGCCTGTTATTGAAAGAAGAGTGATGCCTCTGTAGTTCTCACACTTGCTGAGATTTTCTTTCTTCGGTATTTTGATAAGTTATCTTTCTAATCTGATGGTACTTGTCCCTCATCCCAAATCTTCTTGAAGAGGATGTGAAATATTTTCGCAGTTGCTTCCACATCTGCTTTCATTGACTCTGCTGGAATGTTGTCTGGTCCTGCTGCTTTGCCGTTCTTGATTTGTCTGATGGCCATACTGATCTCCTCAATCGTAGGTGCGCCAATATTAGTTGGGAGGTCGGTGGATCCTGCTTCGATGTTGGGTGGGTTCAGTGGAGCTGGTCGATTGAAGAGTTCATGAAAGTGCTCTACCCACCTATTTCGCTGTTGTTCAGTGTTGCTGATTACTTTGCCTTCCTTGCTTTTCACTGGTCGTTCTGGTTTACGATAGTTTCCGGCGAGCTTCTTCGTTGTTTCGTACAATTGTCTCAAGTTTCCGTCTCTTGCAGCCTTTTCCGCCGTCATTGCTAGATCTTCTACATATTTTCGTTTGTCTGCTCTGATGCTCTTCTTCACTTTAATGTTTATTTCATATTTATTTGCCTTAACCTTCTCTGCTCTTAATCGGCTGACATTCACTGCTGCCTTCTTGTTCCTCCTTTCTTCAATTTTTTCAAGAGTACCAACAGAGATCCATTCCTTGTGATGGTGCTTCTTGCGACCAAGGACCTCCTGACATGTTGAAGTGATTGCCTCCTTAATCCCTTTCCAATTGTACTCCAATGTTGCTTCCTCTCCATTGAGTATATTCTGAAAGGCCTGGAACCTATTGGTGAGGGCTATCCTGAATTCGTTGAGTTTTACAGTATCCCGAAGAAAGGCCGTATTAAACTTCTGTGATGTTGTCTGCTCCGTTGTCCAGTGCTTCTTTAGTTTCAGTTTCATTTTAGTGAACAGCAAGTGGTGATCTGAAGCTATGTCAGCTCCTCTCTTGGTTCTCACATCCTCCATGGTCCTTCTGAACTTTTTGTTGATACAGATATGGTCTATTTGGTTTTGAATAGTGTGGTCCGGTGAAATCCATGTGGCTTTGTGAATGCGTTTGTGCGGGAATATTGTGCCACCGATGACCAGTTTGTTGAAGGCACATAGGTTTGCAAATCTCTCACCGTTTTCGTTCCTTTCTCCCAGTCCATGTCTTCCCATGATGTCTTCATATCCAGTGTTGTCCATTCCAACCTTGGCATTCAGGTCTCCCATAAGAATCGTCAAATCCTTTGGTGAACATTTCTCGACGATTGACTGCAGCCTTTCGTAGAATTGATCTGTAACGTCGTCATTGTAGTCATTGGTAGGTGCATAACATTGGATGACGTTCATCGTAATGCCCTCATTCTTTGTTTTGAAGGATGCTTTAATGATCCTAGGTCCATGAGATTCCCATCCTATCAGTGCCTTTTGTGCATGTTTGGACAGCATCAGTGCAACTCCTTGTGTATGTGAAGCGTTTTCCTCTTCATGACCAGAGTATAACAGCAGGTCCCCTGAAGCAAGTCTCAGTTGTCCTACCTGTGTCCAATGCGTTTCACTGATGCCGAGCACCTCGAGGTCGTATCTTTTCATTTCTGCCGCAACTTGAAATAGTCTTCCAGTCTCCCACATGTGATAATTCTTCTTCCAACTCCCAGGGCAGAGTTAAAATGGTTTGAATTATTTTTTCTGGTTAGCGTTTTTTTGGCAAGTTAGATTTCGACGGAATGGGGTCGCCACCCCCATGTCCAACCCTCCCCCTTTACCCGGGCTTGGGAGCGGCAGTAGCCCCGAAGGTTCTACTGGCGGAGTTGTGGGAAGAACAAGGTTCAAGAAAAAAAAGAGGAAGGGGAGGTGATAGGAGGGATAGTACTGGGAAATGTTCAGATGAATCAGCAATAATAATAGTAATGAGAATGTTTCGAAAAATTCATCAGTCAAAGCTGGTCCGAGAGAGAGATGTTAATTAGTATGCGAATACAAATCTATCAAGCCTCTACTTGAAGCTATCCACTGAGGGCCTGTAGTCACTTGGACCAGGAGAGAATTACAACTTTTGACAACTCCTAACGAGGAAAAATGGAAACATACCTGGACATTCGCTCTTTGGTTTGTGAGAAAAATTTTTATTCCGTTTGTTAGTTCCATATATACGCCATAGAGAAGTATCTGCAGCTGGGATATTAGTCTGACTTTTATCCTATTGTTTGCATTCGATTACCGTAAACATCATGATATCAGTAGCTGTCCTGAGGAATCATTCAACATTCTTGAACATCCAGCAGATTGTACACTGGTAATCTGCACGACACTAGTCATAATTGAACACTTTCGAAATTATTGTCTTTTGCTTTTGAAATGTCTTCGAACTACTAGGGTCATATCAAAAATTTCGTATTTTTAATGCTAGGGACTGGTTATGAGTGTCTAGTTTAAAAAGTCTTCGTTTTTTCTGGCATGCGTAATTCGTTAAAGACTGAAAGTTACAGAATTCCTTTCATACGAAAACAAGATTTTATTTGCATTCAAATGTAAATAACACGTTTTTCTACATCGTTTTTAGGACGGGATGCATATGTCCGTTTAATGTATGAATTTCACTATTCAAAAGAGGCATACAACTATCTTTGTAGACTTCTCTTACTCACTACGGTGTTTCTTCGCTAGTCTCGATTCGAATGATTCGGATAATTTTCCGTACGATCTATTTGTAGCCCCAACATAGTTTTCTTTCCAACGACTTGAAGGTTATCATCTAGGAGTAGCAAACACATTCGTCTAATTCTATCAAATTTACCGTCGCCCCTGGTTAAGTGATCAGGCGGGTTAATAAACAGACCGACAACGTGAATGATGATATAAAAATTAGGGGGACCACTTTCTCCTTTTTACAATAATCTTCCGTAGACCCATATATCCTCAGTTTATCAAAAAACTAAATTGCCTGTCAAAAATGGTACATACTGTGGAAACTATTTTCAATGTTTTGTTTTTTGGAAAATCCCTCCATGTATATATATTTGTGTTATGATATGACTGACTCTTTCTGTTGACATTTTGGTACTTTATTTGATTCCATTTTGAGATTTTATCATTGTATATTGCTATTATTTCTATATCTTGTACTTATATTGAAGTTTTTATGTTTGCTTCTGGACTGTACACATGTTGTTTAAATTTGATATTTAATATGGCTACAGCCATATTTGGATTTGATATTTCAACAGTACGAACTGGAGGCACTTATTCTTCCAGAAACGGATACCCACCGCGGTAAATTGGAAATAGGTGTAAGTAATATTGTTTGGTAATTGTCTGTATTTCCATTTTTATTGAATAATAGGACCGTTTTCTCCCAGAATTATTGTGTTTTGGTTTCGGATCCTAGGGGAGCGCGTACCAAACTGCACCTATTCGAAACGGAGTGAACTGTTGGAGTAGAAAATTCATTTACACATACATACCCTCACTTATCAATTGACGAAAAATCCAGGTTCTCGAGAATGTACGGCTAGTAAGAAGGATAAGTAATACTGAAATCTTTTCTATTCTGAAGGTATCAAGTGTTAGAAAATAATTTAACAACTTAAACGAAATCTGTCCGTT